ACATGAAGTTGAAATGAAAACCCAAAAGTTGAAATGGTTCAACTTTGGAGATCAAAATCAAAATAAAAAATCAAAATAGTCAAAATGACATCATATCACATGATTTTTTATATATATAAAAAACAAAAAAATAAAAAATGTACAATTTCAGTTAATATTGCTTCAATTGTATAAAACAACTACCATTCGATTTCTCGTGACTAGATAAATCCAATGAGCTAACATTTATTGATTTGGATCAGTCCATCTCGAGATATTTGCGATCGTATTTCAAAATCCAGACTCCTTTATTTAAAGTAGAATTTATTAATTCATAATTTTAGCCAATAATACAATTGCGATTATCTCGAGATTAGATAATCCAAAATCAATGAATGTTAGCTCATTGGATTTATCTAGTCGCGGGGAATCAAATGGTAGTTGTTTCATACAAATTGACTAAGATCGTACATTTTTTGTTTATTGTTTTTCTCAATATGAAAAATCATGTGATATGACATGATTTCGACTATTTCGCAGCTTTAGCCTTTAATAGTCGAAATGATTTTGACCATTTTGGATATCCGAAATAATCTATTTCGACTTTATGTATAATCCAGTCATAAAAAATCAAATAATAGTTATTTTATGAGACACAGAATAATATTGATTGAGATCGTATATTTTCTGTTTTTTTTAGATTTTTTTATATATAAAAAATTATGTAATATGATTTTATTTTGATCATTGTGACTTTCATTTTGATTTTGACTTTTAAAGTCAAAACATTTTAATTTTTAGATTTTCTTTTAATTTTATATATAGTCGTATACATGTGGGTATATTTAAAATTATTAAAAATATATAAAATAAGCAAAATCAAGTTCAACTTTAATATAGAATTAATTTTGTGAGAAGCATCACAACCTCAATAAAAAAGAAAAGATTATGAATATTAAAATCAAATTCAAATAATATATAATATTTTTGAAAACTAATCACTTATAGAATTTCTTCAAAGAATTGCTCATAATTTTTCATTTTAGATAGTTTGTAATAAAATTTAGTTTTTTTATTCATTTTATATATTTTATTAATATTTTATATTAAATAGAAATAAATAAAAATATCAAATAATCAAATTTATTAAAAATTTAAATTTACATTTTTACTTTACATTGATTTAATTCAAATTAATTTTTTTAATATTAATAAAATAATTTTTAGCAAAATGATATTATCGACAAAATGATTCTATCGGTAAAATAATCATTGGTAAATCATTTATTAGCAAAATGATTATTAGTAAATTGATTATCAATTAAATAAACTGGATCTAATCATAATATAATAATATAAAATTAAGCATAATAAGTAGGATTCCTTAAAATTGAATTGAATCAAATATTTAAGCAATTTGAATTTGATTTGATTTTTTCAAATCAAATCAAATTAAACTCAAATATTTGATCAAATCAAATTGAATCAACTTGAATTTGATTGAATTAAATCAAATTGAATCAAGTATTTGTTGAATCAAATTAAATTAAATCAAATATTTGATTGAATTAAATCAAATCAAATATAAAATTTTTTTTAAATTTTACAATGATATATTAAAATAAAATTTTAAAGTTTTAATTAAGAAAATTATTATTAATTGTACTAAAAAATTTCAAAGATAGCTTTTACAAAGTATGTTTAGTAACAGGTGAATTTTTACTATTAAAATGTATGTCTAAAATATATGCTATTTTAAGTGATCAGCCTAACCACAATTTTATGGTTAGCTGATCTTTCTAGTAATAAATAAGAAATGACAAATAGGTTTCATACCATGTGAAAAAAACTAAGTTTAAAAAATAAATAGAAATTATGTTTTACTGACTGATGTGATAGGCATGAAAAATAATGCAGATCTTATCTATATAAATTAACCTAGCACACATTTCAGATATACATTAAAAACTTAGTAAAACAATTTTGTGGCTTTAGTTTTATTAAGAAAACTTAGTAAAATAACTTTGCAATTTCAGTTTTACTAAGAAAATTTAGTAATAATTACTATTACAATTTTGGTTTACTAAGAAAACTTAATAATAATACAATCACAGCTTCAGAACTATTTTATTAGTAAAAAACATTTTTGAAATATAAATGCATTTTTTATTAGATTTTTTTAGTAAAAAATGTCTTTGAAGTTATAAAGGCATTTTTTACTATGTTTTCTTAGTAAAATAACATCTCCAAAACTATAATAGTATTTTACTATATTTTTCTAGTAAAATAACATCTCTGAAGCTACAAAGATATTTTTTACTATATTTTTTTAGTAAAAAAAGCATTTTCAAAGCTACAGAGATGCTTTTTACTTTAGTTTTCTTAGTAAAAACCACCTCTAAATCTTTGAAAATAGCTTTACAATTAACTCAAATCAAATTAAATATTTGAATACTTGATTTGAATTTGATCGAATTAAATTAAACATTAATTTAGATTTGATCAAATAAAATATTCTTTGATTTGAATTTGATAAAATCAAATTGAATATTCAAATATCAAATCAAATTGTGGAATCCTAATAATAAGTAAATATTAAAATTGTAATAAAATTATAAATTGGCCTATATTATAATTACTTTAGGATTTATAAGTTGATTTTTTTTTAATAATAATTAATTTTCGTAATTTAGTAAATTTTAAAATAGAATCAAATACCTTATTTTTTTTAAAAAATTAATTACAAATAAATTTATTAAAAACATTTTTTAATATTTTTAAACATAAATTATAAAAAGTTACTACTTTGTTGCTTTGTTTAATTACTATTAAAATTATATGTAAATTAATTTATTATAATTGATAAAATACTAATTTACTAATTTATTTGATTTGAAAATTAATTGATATCTAGATTTAACTTGAAAACATCATATTATATTTAATAAAATATCTGGATAAATTATTATGAGGTATGGTTAAAAGTGAGTCTCTTAATTAATACTTTATGATAAGTGTTTCAATTTACTTAATTAATAAGTTTAGGTAACAATAATTAAATAATAAATATACCTTTAAAATTAATTTTAAAATTTTAGAGGATATCTATATTTTAGAAAAAGTTTTAGATTTTAAAATAGTTTTAGATTATAAAGTTTTAATTTTAAAATAGTTTTAGCTAACAATATTACTTTTGATAATTATTTTTCTTCTGATTCTTTAATAAATGAAAATTCTAAAAAAAAGAATTAGATAATAAAGATGTTGATTTAGATTTTAAAATTATTTATTAACAAATTTTAGTTTAATATATTTGTTTATTATTATTTATTTATCAAATAAAAAAAAATAGTATTGCTTAATAAATATTATTCATTGTTTAAATTATAATAATAATTAATAATATGAAAGGTGATCAGTAGAAAAGTGAAAAATCTAAAATTTTTATTAATTTTTATTATTTAGCTAAATTTGTGCATATGACTGAGTTTTGATCAAAATTTGGATTTCCACCTTTTCTACTGACCACTTCCCATATGTTAAAATTTAATACTATTTATTATTTAAATCTTTTAGACAAAATCTAGAGTTAGACAAATATCTAAATAATAAAGGTAAAACTTGATTAAATTATATTAAAACCTTGTTAAAAAATCTGCAAAATTCATAAAAAGATAAAATTATATCAAAGCTTATAAAAATGGTGAAACTATATCAAATACTTAATAAAATTTAGCAAAACTAAAGGTTTAAACATTTAGTTAAATCAAAAATAAGTTTAAATAAGCAAACTTACTTTTGATATTATTTAAATCATTTAAATCTTTTAATACTTTATATTTTTTTTAAAAAAAAAAATATTTAAATATGTTTTAATTTTTAATAATTAACAAAAGGCTAAAATTTTATTAAATAACTATAATCTTTATATCTTATAACTTCATTATTTTAGTATAAAATACTGCATCTATCATTTTATTATTATTTGTATTTACTTTTATTTAAATAATTCATATAATAATATAAATAAAGTAAATAATCTTTTATAATCATTTTTTAAAACTATATAATAATCGAAAATATTTATAAGAAAAAATATTTTTTAATATAATTTTCAATCCTGATCATAATTAATTAATTTTTTAGAATTAGTATGAGTTTTTTCTTCATGATTAATTTTTGGATAAGCATCTATTAACAGTTTTATATTACATTATGAATAACTGTATTAATCACATTTTTAATGAATTGATTGATTCTCACTAATAATTTTCAATTCTATTAAAATTAACAAAAAATAAAATAGATAAATTAATTAATATTAAAATTATAATTTAAAATTTAATAAATCCTAATAAAAATCAAGTTAACATAGCATATGTAGAAGGAAATATACAATCTAAAAGCTATATGAATATAAAATTATATTATAAATCATGTGATTTAAAACTTAATTTTATAATCAATCCATATATTCTAAGGTATACTCCTATAACTTGATAATTGTTCTTCGTCTTCTAGCATTGATTTCTCAAATTGGAGATTTGATGACAAGCCTTGTTCAAATATTTTACTTAAAGGATTTTAACCATATGACATTCATAACTAAGTCCATTTAAAATATTACAACATTGTAAAAAGTTGAATAATAAAAATTTAAAGGTAAAAAAAAAATTTGTAAAAAAAGATTTTTAAAAAGAGGATGTTTTTTTTTTTTAAAAAAAAAAAAGATCTATATATACAATATTGTTATGCTATTTTCAAAAATATATACAAAAGTATGCATGCATACAATAATAATACTTATTAATTTTTAATTGTTTAAATTATTAAAACTTATTACATTAAAACAATAAATAATACATATCTTTTATTTGTCACCACTGGATGTTAGGGTTTCATAGTGAACGATTAATAATTAACAATTATCAAATATTTTAAAAGCAAGGTTTTTATATATTGGTTTAAAACACCAGAACTAAATTATTTCTTTTACTGCGGAGGTACGAGACAAGCTTTAATTACTTTTCCCTATGAGCTTCCATTTCAAGATCATCCCAACTTAAGTATCTACCACTTAAATGTTTAATAGTATCAAATCTTTCACCAGCACAAGAAACTAAAGAAGCAAAAACATAAGCTGGACGTTCAACGGGAACTAAATTATTTGATTCATATAAATTTACAAAATAGTCATATTCTGATTTACTCATTCCCATTTCCAAGCCTATATTTAATGTATATAGAAAAGGAATGTAAGTCATCGGAAAATATTAATAATATGTTAACAATGTTAAATACCTTTTTCGCGTACAACTTTTTGCATATCAGTATCGACAATTCCGGGACGTAGTGCTATTGCTGCGATTTCAGGTTCTTCAACTGCAACTGTAGATGTCAGCAAATTAAGTGCTGCCTTACCGCTAGAAATAAGAAATATTAATAATTGTAATTAATCTTTTGATTTAATACATATAAGCTAGACGGATAACACTTACGAGCCATATGGACACCATCCACGATATGATTTATTAGCTGATCCGGATGATACTGTAACAAATACTCCCTTATTTTGCCTTAATTGCGATATTGATTTTTGAATTAAACCAATTACTGAAAAGAAATTTATATCAAAACTTCTAATAATTTTTTGAAAGACAATTAATTATAATTTATTATTTGAAAAATTATTTAAACTGCTTTTATTACCGTTTCCATTCATCTATACTGCAATTAGCCACTGTACCCATAGGAAGAACTCTATTAAAAGTTAAATATTAACATTTCTTTGTTTATATTTTTTTAAAAAAATATCGAGACTTACCCAGCATTTGCAACAATACCATCTAATTTTCCCCATAACTCAATAGATTTTCCGATCGCTTCTTCAACAACCTGTTCATTTGTAACATCTCCAACAATGATTTCAATTTTACCTTTCCCTTTTAAATCATTCTCAACATATTGCTTTAATTCTAATAAATCTTTTTGTGTACGAGATATTGCTATTACATTATTATTAAATTTCTTAATTAGTTCTATTGCTATTGCTTTGCCTAGTCCTCTTGACGCTCCCGTAACAATAATTGATTTTGCTACCATAATGAAATTAAAGTAAATTACCGTAGAGACAATCAAATTAAATGTTTCCAGATTTTTATGTATCGACTTACTTTATTAGACTAAGGATCGGCAAATCAAGTTAGTTAAAAAACATAGAAGGTTAATTAAAAATATTTTTATATGTATATATTATAATATCTATCATAAAATATATATCCTTTTCAAATTAATGATATTTCTTACAATTGAATAAATAATTTTAATCATTTTACAAAATTAAAATTATAAATCTTAATAATAAGTTTTTAATAAATAAATAAATTTGTTTTATTTTAATAATTTTTTATTTCTCTTTTAAATAAATTATATTTTATTTAATATAAAAATTTAAACATCTTTATAATAAATTTTTTATAATATATAAATTAATAAATGACTTATGTTTTATGATAATTATAAGAATTACTATATAATTGAATTTTAAATACTTAAAATAAATGAAATCTGTATTTAATATTTTATTAAAAGGTTAATTATTAAATAAAATAAATTAATATTAATTTGTACATTTTATTAAATATTTAAGTTTTTACTTTTTTAAAAAAATTTAATAAAATTAAATTTTAAATTTTAATTATTTAATATTTATTACTATAGAGTACTGCACAAGATACCTTAGGTATAAATCAATTTTTTCAATTTAAAAATTGATTTATACCCATAGGCAGTGATGTATACTTTGAAGATTGGAAGCATCTTTGGAAGCATCTTTAGAAAGTTTGGAAGCACAATTTATTAATAAAATTATTTGGATTAGAAGCTTCCAATCAAATTTTTTACCATTAGAAGCATAAAATGCACATCACTGCCCATAGGTATCTTGTGAAGAGCAGGGTATAATAAGCGGTAAGATATTTTAATAAGAGTATTATATTGAGGGCGTATATTGTAAAGGAGTTACAAAGTATAAACTAATCTTATATAATCTATACCAATAACTGACACAGCATATATGCATATATTAAGAGGTATAAGATACAAACTAAACATATATGGAAGCTTTGCAGTAGAAAGGGAGAAAACTCTAAAAAAATTAAAATTTTACTTTCTAAGCTAATTATGATTTT